AAGACAGCTTTAGTAAAGATCATTGGAGCAGCAGCAGGGGGCTTAGACAATGTTGCACTTGATAGATTTCAGAACTTGTTAATTTGAACAGGAATGATTTTCACCTGTGAGGGATTTTGGCAAGATCAGCCTTGCCTGTTGAAATAGTCATTAGTCTGCGTTCTTGCATGAAACTCATTCGAATAACACATTCAGAGATCTCACTTGAGTGGCTGTTAATAAATATATAATTTGCGAAAACATTGATTTGGGAATAGCTGTGGAAATAGGTTTATGACTGTGAAGATGGTAGTACTGGGTAAACTGTAATGTTTTTAAGGTAGGTATTGCCCAATTTAGCGATGAATTCCTAAAGGTGAGTCAGACAAAACTTTCTTTCTAAATTTTTCTATTTAAAATGATCATGTAGGTTAGATAATATCTCTAGATAATACCAGATAGTGAGTCATTGCTCATGACATCAAGGGCGGTGGGGTAGCCTAGTGGTTAAAGCATTCACATCTCACGCCGAAGTCCCGGGTTCGATTCCCCACATGGGTACAATGTGTGATGCCCATTTCTGGTGTCCCCAGCCGTGATATTGCTGGAATATTGCTAAAAGCGGCATAAAAATGAACTCACTCACTCACTGATATCAATCACTGAATTGCCGGGTGATACACTTGATTATTTACCTAATCAATATAGCTGACACCTTGGTGGCTGGGTTAAAAACAACATTCGCTTGCTTACGATAATTTACTTTTTTATTACTGCTCATGCAAATAGCATGAGATTCAATCAATCACTCCAATGATCAGGGATTTCTTTAGGATTCAATGATTTGTGCTTTTGAAAAATCAGATCAGGAAAATCAGAATATTTAGTTGAAAAAATGAATGTTTTTAATTCTAATTTCTGAAACTTACGTATCTAACTGTTGCTCTTAATGTGATATGTAAACTATGCACAAAAGACTCTTCTCTGTTCACCAAACCATTACATTCGGTGAATAACTTATTTATTCCTATTTGGGAATGTTTACTGCTACAGGTTTGGGGCTGAATATCGGTCTATTGGTTCGCGTAAATCCTCACGTGATTATAATTTTATCAGTTTGGACTGATGCACATGTTAAAAACATTGTGTGTGATTTTTCAAGTGGCCTGACCAATATATTTTCTTGTTTCATTTACACGAAATAAGAATCAAAGTTTGACAGAAATCCTTCAATGACACACACATTGACGATACTGTAGCCATATGAAAACAATTATTGGTCAAATTCTCTGGGTTGTTGTTATGGACTCAACATTCCAAATTCTCTTCTGGAAGATGGTTGACATGTTTTGTCTGTAAATATTTTTCTTTTGGCGAGACTTAAATGATATTTTTGTTAGAAGTTTGATACCTGTCTTGCCTTCGTCCCTGTCTAGCCTTTGTACCTGTCTAGCCTTAGAATGTACTTACTATAATTGACTTACTGATTTAGTGGTAGTGTGATCTGTATGTTAACATTGGTATTTTCACAGCACTTGATCCACCGACATATTGGTCTTCAGCAACCCACATATGTGACTTGGGGCGGTGGGGTAGCCTAGTGGTTAAAGCGTTCGCTCGTCATGCCGAAGACCCGTGTTCGAATCCCCACATGGGTACATTGTGTGAAGCTCATTTCTGGTGTCCCCTGCCGTGATATTGCTGGAATATTGCTAAAAGTGGCGTAAAACCAAACTCACTCACTCACACATATGTGACTTGGTTGACACATGTCAGCATATCCCATTTACATAGATCGATGTTCATGCTGTCTGTCACTGTGAATCAATGTCTGGTCTATACTGGATTAATTACAGATCGCTGCCATATATTTGGAATATTGCTGAGTGTTACCTTAAACAAACAAACAACCAAACATTGTCCCTGTAAACCCTGTACTCATGACATGTTTGTTTGAAGTGGGACACATGGCAGGAGCTGATCCAGAGAGGGGTGCGGGGGTGTGCACCCCCTTTCTCCCCCCCCCCAAATTTCCCGTGATGAGCATATCCCCCTAACCTTGGACTTCATGATATATGTGCACCCTGTACAACCCCAATTTGTAAAATCAAGACAACATGTAAAAACTAACGCAATATGCAAAAACTTAACGCAAAACGTAAAAAATAACGCAATATGTGAAATATTAACGCAATATGTAAAAGATGTATTTAAGATAAGCTTGTCTACACAATAAAAAATGTGGCCTGAAAAATCAGACAAATCAGACCAAGCTTCCAAAACACCATGCAGTTTAGACCGCCTCCGTGGTGTAGTGGTTAGAGCATCCGCCTGGAGGGCGGAAGGTCGCGGGTTCGATCCCCGACCGTGTCATACCAAAAGACGTTAAAATATGGTACTTGTTGGTCCCTGCCTGGCGTTCGGCATTAATGGGTACAACAAGGACTGGTCGGCTCGGAGTCAGCATAATGTGTCTGAGTGGGGTATTCATGCTTCACTGCGGCATGGTATCTCAGTGGGCTAGCACTATAAAACCAGCTTAAGTCTGGGCTAGTACAAACAGCCGCACATACACATACACACGCATGCAAGTCGTCATATGAGCGAAATATTCTCAAGCACGACGTTAAACCCAATTTCACCTCACCTCACCTCTCTCTTTCTATTTCCAATTGTTCTGGACAACGTCCTCGGCAACTTCTGTCTCACTGTCCCATTGCTCTGGACTGTGCTACCTCTCTCTTTGCCAATTCTACCTGTTCTACTCTTAATTTGATCAGGTGGATTTAGAGTCATGTAGTGTTTCCCTTCATTTTCAGGAAGTAGCCAAGATATATCACTGGACTCTGTCCGGGTAGAATCTCTTTTGGTGAACTTGTGTCACTGTTTCATTTACATCAAAGATTCTGACCTCTATCATAAGATTCTTGATACAACCGTGAGAACCAGGTGATCACCATATGTCCCGGCGAGTGAGTGAGTGAATGATTTAATAAGGTTAAACACCCCTTCAGCAATTTTTCAGATATTGAAGACGTAAATTACACTGAGATGTCTCATTTAGATAAACAATAGAATAACTGGTTCCTTTGTACTAATGTTTGATACTACGTCAAATATTCACAGGATGTCACAGAATACACAGCGAATGGCACTCTATGTGATTAAATTGTGAATTACGATTATAATTTCTTAGGCGTGGTTTGTGATTTCGCAATTCTATGCAGGTATCATTGATCTTGTCATTGGCATGTTTGATGGATTCAGATTTCTGAAACCTTGAACAACAAGTCATGTTACCCATTTACATCAATATTCCATGTTACTGAAATTGCATCAAATACAATAACTTTATTTCATTAAATTTGAGCGATCAACATCGAGGATCCAATCTCAAATGTCTCTGGTATTACTTAATTTCATTGGCAGCAATATTACCTGTGACTTGATTGAAGGAAATCAGATATGATTGGAATTGAAATACCGAATCACTTCGATGCATCTTGCATGTCCATTATACCTAAAACTGCAAGATGGATTTACCATTTCTAAATCAAAGACATTTGTGTCCAGCGACACATTTATACTTAAACAGTAATTTTCTCATTTTGGAGTAATATAATATTTGTAAATACATCATCATAAATATGATATTTTCTCTAAATTTCATTAAAAGTGTTTCTGAAAAAAATTCCCAAGTCTCTCGTAATTCCTATGATGGCTCAAACTTTTTATCAAGATTTGTTGCATTTCATTTGTGTATTTTGAGGTGAGATTAAAATACACACTACCAGGAAAAGTAACTAATACATTAATTCCATAAAGGAAAATGTTTTGGTATTAATTCACCACTAAATAGGACAAATCTGAAAACAAAACTGGTCTCTCAACACAAACAATGAAAAGAAAAAGAAACAAAATACAAAAAGCTTATACATGTATCTGCAGAATTCCAAGTTGAACCTTGGTTACCGTACCACAATGCGGAGGGTGATTTTATGTCCCCAACTTTGCACTACATGCGTGTTGGGGGATAAAAAAAGCCAAAAGGTAAAACCTCCTTGAATAGGACATAATGAATACAACCCATATGACCATTTATGTAAAAATACTATGGAGAATAATATGATTTCCTTGGATAGTGCCGAATATCGATTATGATATCAAGTATCGCTATACATGTATTTTACACAATTATCGGCTTTACTTTGCTGTTAAACGACCCCAAAGATCAGATATCAATTGAGTTAGAAATTAGGTTAATTTTGTCACAAATATTGCAATAGCTTAGTTATTTTGAAAAAAACCCAATAAAATAAAGTTTCTAAAAAAATGAATTTCAGTCGCCAAAACAATAAACAACAATAAAGCTGTATTTTACAGATTCCGTTAATCTTTTACAAATTGCGTTATTTAATTTTTTTTACATTTTGCGTTAGCTGTTTACACATTGCGTTAAAGACATTTTTTACATTTGGCGTTAATTGTTTACATATTGCATTATATGTTACGTTTTGTGTTAAGTTTTTACATATTGTCTTGATTTTACATATTGGGGTTGTACACACCCCCTTCTCCAAAATCCTGGATCCGCCCACACATGGTTGCACACATTTGGAGGTGAAATTGAGTCAAAAAGATCTTGTTTTGGAGAAACCTAAACATAGAAATGGTTCTTCGAATCATTGCTAATAAGATTAAAATAGTCACCTTCCTATTAGCAAGTACTGAGGCTGGGTTTTTTCAAATTGTTTATAACTTTGAGAAAAAGACAAATATATTCCTGCAAATGTTAATATAAATTATACACCATGATGAAATTTTTTATTTTTGAAATAATAGAATTGTCATGTTCAATTTGAGATAACAATACGAGTATGATGGGAAATATTTGTTTTGTGACTAAGTGTGAATCTGCAAAATTGCTAATAATATAGACAATTTTGTCAAATAAATCCTTTATTAATTATAAAACTTATTAATCCTATATCCTTATTCAATTTTATTTTTTTTATTTACAGAAATTAGAAGATTCGGTTCTCCGTGACAGCAAACACTATACGCTGAGGGGTGACGACGGAAGCTCATCAACAAAGGTCCCTGCTCGTATCCGAGAAATAATCACACGAAACTTGGCAACAGATAGACTAGCTTACACGAGTGTTGCCATGTCGACACCAACCCCTCATCAGTTGCAGGAGGAGAACCAACTTCTTTCGAGCGAGCTGAACCGTTTGGAAGATCAGCTGTCTGCTAGTCGGTCGGAGAGGGACGAACTTGGCATCAAGTACAATGCTCTCAGTGAAAGGGTAAGAGTCATTTATGTTTCTAACGTAACCCACCAAAACATTTGAAGCAGAATGTAAATGGCTGGATCAGACAATCCAGTGAACAGTATTGTGAGTAATGATCCCATTGGGTACAAGGCCACACTAGCAACCAAAACTTACAGGATTGGGTGGTCAGGCTCACTGACTTGGTGGATATCCCAATTGCGCAGATCGATGTTCATGATGTTGATCACTGGATTGTCCGGTCCAGACTCGATTCTTTACAGACTGTAGTCATATAGCTGGAATACTGCCAAGTATGGAGTTAAACAACAAACGAACCCCAAAATCATGCAGTGCGGTGTTAAACAAACAAATGATACATTATTGTAAACTCTCATCAGACACACAAATACGCACACAAGACAGAGGACACATTTTGAAAGTTGAGGTTGAAGATGTCAGATGTTCAGCATGAATGGGTACAATGTGTAAAGCCCATTTCTGGTGTCCCCTGCTGTGATGTTGCTGGAATGTTGCTTACAGCTAAAACTAACTCACTCACTCACTCACTCACTCACTGCATCACTTTCCTCACACAGATATAACTGGAACCCAACTCGCTGACTATCGGTGCTCATGCTGTTGATCACTGGATTGTCTGGTCCAGACTCAATTATTTACAGACCGCTGCCATATAGCTGGAATGTTGATGAGTGCGGCGTAAAACTAAACTCTCACTCACTCACTCACTCACTCTCACTCACTCACTCACCCACCCACTCACTCACTCACTCACTCACTCACTCACTCACTCACTCACTCACTCACTCACTCACTTACTTCTATCCTCACACATTAAGCAGATGTAACTGGAATACCTTAAACCCAACTCACAGAGTGAGTGAGTTACGATTTTAAGTCACATCGGCAGTATTTCAGCTATATCGTGACCCCAGCTCACTGACTATCCCACACATTGTTTGCTGGTTGAGTTAAGTGGGCAGTTTTGCAGTGTAACACCAGCTCTCTAACAAGCAATAACAGATCCCTATTCTCTGAAGATTACACTGGCTGATACCCCTATGGCCAATGTGGCCGATACACGGAAGATATTTCAGATATTTTAATAATTAATCAGCAAATTGCTGATGGCCAGTCACCATCCCAATCACTACACAGCAGGGTTTGAAGACTGTATTGATGAAATCGGAATTAGACGTTTAGCCCGATTAGGAAACCGCTGACAGGCATATTATATACACCGTCAGAATCTCTTGATCTAATGATGTGATTATTTGCAAAACAACTATTTGTTGTCAGTCATAATCTGGACTTTGAAACAAATCTCAGGTCATTCACAATCGTAGTGAATGATTTAGATGGTCATGCAGCTATTTTAGTGGCACTTTTTAAGCCAAATATGTTATACCACTCAAAGGAAGTTAAGAAACCACCGAGTTCTTTCAGATTTCTGTAGTTTACCTTGTCTTGCCATGACTGAATAACTATAGTGCTATGAAAGAATATGGTGCTCAACTTATTTTGAATAGTATATTTATGACTAAAACCTTCAACTGACTTGAAATTACATGTACCTTGTTTCACAATTCTGTTTTGGACGGTGGGGTAGCTTATTGGTTAAAGTGTTCGCTTGTCATGTCAAACTCCCGGGTTCAATTCCCCGCTTAGTTGCAATGTGTGAAGCCTATTTCTGGTGTCCCCTGTCGTAATATTGCTGAAATATTGCTAAACGCGTAAAACTAAACTCACGCTCTCACAATTATGTCTATGATATTTGGGAGTGCAAGAAAAAGTATAGATTTAAAAATTGCAGTTTATGCAACATTAATTAATTAATTGAGAAATCAATAATCTTTCCAGTAAAATGTATTAAGATGTTGTGCATTCTTTTAATGAGGTTAAGGAACTTCAAAACAATTTTTTTTTTTAAATGCTGTAATGTATTTATTTGGAACATTATTACTCCTCCATCCTCCCATTCAAATTATTTAAAAAACTAAAATGAAAAAATAAAATATTAATAAAGTCTTCATGAAATAAAAGATAAAACATTATTGGATAAGGCCATAACATCATGATAGATCCATGTATGATTGTGGCAGGAAGTGTATTTGAATTAATACCTATGCACATAGTTAAAGCTTATGATATCCTCAATCTGTAAAACGATTTGAGATAAAAAAAATTGCTTAGAAGATATTTTTTTAATCTAGAAAAATCACTCCAGATCACTTGGAAACAAATGGATGAAATTCTGATAAATAATTGTTAACGGCCTAAGTAGCCCGGTTCACAGAGAACCTGGGTCAGATTGGGCTTGTTTCGCACGTCAAGTTACGCAGGTTTAAATTGTTTAACGTGATGAATGACCTCTGGGGAACGTGAGATCATAGTTTCCACTGGTGGGGTTGTAATAACCACAACGGATGGAGGAATGCTGGGTAATATTTCATGCGGCTAATCTTCTGATATTGATTATTGGCTGAAAAAATTGTAATTGGCTTCAGTTTGGTTTTGTTAATAGTTTTAGGATCAGTGCTGATGTAATCGTGTTTGAACTTGTTGTTTTTGTTATGACATTTTGATACCGGTGTGGTTTTTATACAAATTGTGAATTTGAAGTGGTTAGGATCATAGTCTAAGGGGACCCATTAGCACGCTGTTGAACCATGTCAGTGAAATTGACACCTCTACAGCGACAGCACTAACTCCCACCAGATCACATTGTAGGCAACCATTTGACAAGGATTTTCAATAAAAGAAATAGCCTTTTTTTTGTAGAAAAGAAAAATGTGCAAAATTACAAGATTTCTGTAAAATGTTAAACAAAATTATATATGGACTTTTTTCGTTTTTAAGTAGGAAAAAAGGTGATTGTATGTATAGAAATTGTAATTAATATCTCTGTAGGAATGTTGGAATTTACCTCACTTTTTCTTAAATATGAAAAAATAATTTGAGTTTTGAAGCAATTGTTGCAGATATTCTAAATGATTTGTTGACATGAAATAGAGCATAATTGTGAATTTATTACATTACACTAAGTAATGTCATGACTGTATTGATGTTATTGTCCCTATGATGTTATTGTCACTACAATGTTGTTGCCAATATGATGTCATTACCACTGTGATGTCATTCTACTATTATGACATTGACACTGTGACATTTCTACTAAGATATGGGAGCTACTGTGATGTCATTACTAATATGATGTCATACTATTATGATGTCATTGATACTATGATGTCATTGCCTCTATTATAACATTGACACTATGACATTTCTTCTGCTACCATGTGGTAGCTACTGTGATGTCATTGCTAATATGATGTCATTACCACTATGATGTCATTGGAACTATGATGTCATTGCTTCTATTATAACATTGACACTATGACATTTCTACTAAAATGTGGGCTTCTGTGATGTCATGGTTATTATGATGTCGTTGATAGTATTATGTCATTGCCACTATGATGTCATTGATGCTGTGATGTTATTGATACTATACTTTGCAATAATGAAATCTCATCTCATTCAGACCCGGACATTATTTGTCCGAAACGGAGCCCTAGATTATGTGAGTTGAACTATAGACATCACTATATAACATGTACAGAGTTGAAATATAGACAACACTATATAACATGTAAAGTAGACTAGCTAAAAGCACTAATACAGACAGACTGCCACAACATGTTTAGCACTAGATAGATCTGCTTTATCATATTCATATAATCTTCACCTTGGCTAGAAATATATCAAACTTAGCAAAAATAACTGTGCAATGTTAGAAATCTTTTGAGACAAGGTTCTTCTCTTTCTATAAAGTACATATTTTTGTTCTATCTGTTGAGTATACAACAGCAAGTAGCTCAAATGGTTAGAAAAGGTTGTGTATCTCTTGGGTACATCTATCACAAGTCATAATGGGTGTTGGCCTGACATTCATTTTGCAGTTTATTGCGGTAGTGGATTGTGTACTGCAATATGTACCTCAATATATTGTACTTTTGTAAATATCATACTTAAGCTGCGCATATTTGACACCTTCTTTGTCATCCACCATTTTGTTAGATGTTACTGTATCTCATTCAATACAGTAACTAATTTCATAATTTTATTCATAATAACAAAATGAAAAGCATTGAAAACCAGCATAATTTTGAAAAATGCAATATACTGATATATTCCCCTTATACATTCATATTCATTATTATCTTATGTCATGCTGTACCATTAAGCAACATGCAAATCCGGGTTAGAATTGGTCTTCAGTAACCCATGCTTGTTGTTTTATTTACAGACCGATGCCATATAGTTGGAATATTGCTAAGTGTGGTGTTAAGCAACAAAACAACCAACCAACTGTACCATTAAGACGGACATTTCTTTTAGCTGTGCACATTAAGTGTGTTTCTATCTGGTATATAATTTTCATATTGCTTGACTAATGTTGAATATGAAATGAATGATTTTTTAAGATTCACTAAGAATTTGCCATTGTTGGTACATATGACTGTAACCTGAAGCTGTCATGTACGACAATGGATCCTTTTGTTCGGTAATGGTGTTTTCCTAACAACTTAGTGGTATGTAGTTTAGAGCAGCTATTTAGGTTAGATTTCACGATAACCAAATCACTTTCACGTCTTTAGCATTACATTCCTTAGAGGGTTAGAGTTGTATGATTACTGATAACAGTATTACCAGTTTAAAACTTTAGAATATATATTTGTGAATGTGTATTTATGTTTTTACTTCTTTAGCAAACAATTTGAAATTCATATATTTATTATATAATATTTATAATTGTTTGTGTGTGTGTGTGGGTATGTTTTCACACTTGATTTGACAATATACTGGTATATTCCAAGCATATTATGATACATATTCTTTAATACAGCATAGCTCTCATCTAAATGAAGATTATATATTACATTGCCCTGGCTATCAAATTAGATCATGGAGATCCATAATCGTTGACTAAATATTGATCAATTATTGAGAAGTATCGCAGAAGTAACTTCGAGCAAGTATGCCAAGACAGTCACAAGAACATATTTCACATGACTGGTGACATATTTATGCATGGTTTATTAACAAAAAAGTGTCCTACACACAATTTAGAAGCAGCTGTTGAATATAGACACAACTTTGTGCTTTGTGTGTAAAAGTTAAAACTTTTCATCACAAAAATATATGCATGACAGTATCAATGACAGTTTTCATATCAATAATCATTAATAATGCTTCCCATTGATGATATTTCTGATTATCAGCTCGTCACTCCGAAGACCCTGGTTCGATTCCCCACATGGGTACAATATGTTAAGCCCATTTCTGGTGTCCCCCGCCGTAATATAGCTGGAACATTGCTAAAAGCGCCGTAAAACTAAACTCACTCACTCACTCACTCTGATTATCAGTCTTTTAGCATGTTTAGCCAGCCCTAATATTCAATCTTGAATGTGGCCAATTATAAAACTGAAACATGATTGTATTGTTTCATGTGTCAGCTAAATGTTGATCCCTGACTTGACTGTAGAGTCTGGGGTTCACCAGCATAGTATGGTCTCAACATGTTAAGCAATAAAGGCCAGTGTAATCGATAGCTTTGCATGGGACACTAACTGTACCGTAAACATGCTCACAGTAAACTAGTTTCCCTACAACAAATTACATATCCTGGGTAGTCCTTTAGTGGTTGGTTAACCTCTTGAAGTTTTGTTTGTTTATGGATGTTTAACACTGAAATAGTATAGCAGTATGACAATGACCTGTAAATAATTAAGTCTGGATCAAAGAGTCCATTTATCAATATTGTGAGCTATGGTCCACACTGTCCAGTTGGATGACGTTGTCATGAACCCTGACCACCGCTGAATTGTCTCGTGCGACCAAATGAAATACATAAATGTGCAGAGGTTAGTTTGACATTGAGGATGTCACCTTGACTTGCACAAGTCTCTGAGGTAAAAATTAGTAGTTTAAGGATAATTTCTAAAGAATTATAAATAAGAGACTGGGTCCTGACTGTCCACTTATCTAAACTTGCCTCTTTAGAGGATGGGGGCGGTGGGGTAGCCTAGTGGTTAAAGCGTTGGCTCGTCACGCCGAAGACCCGGGTTCGATTCCCCACAATGGGTACAATGTGTGAAGCCCATTTCTGGTGTTCCCCCGCTGTGATATTGCTGGAATATTGCTAAAAGCGGCGTAAAACCATACTCACTCACTCACTCTTTAGAGGATAGAATGACTATATTATATCCATGGGCTCAGCATCCACAACAGCCTTGGAGCAAGGCTACATATCACCATGAACCCTGGCAACGTCCTTGTGGTTAAGGTTCACAGTTCATTGGAAAGATGTATTTTTCAAGTACAATCAGATCATTTTGGTGAACAAGAATACATAGGCATCATGAAATTTTTGTTGGGATAATGTTTTGTTGAGGAGACTGAACATACAGTTTCATAAATGATGTCCCTCGAAATACTCCTTCTTTTCTTGATTCAGTATGAGATGAAAGTTCCATATGATCATGTGGCAAATGTTTAAAGAATGCCTGTAATATTAACTAGTGGTTTTTCGATTAATTGAAATAATCGAAGATTGGTCGAAGTGACCAAACGACCAAGCAATCGATCACATTTTCTCATAATCGAACACAAACGATTTTGGAACTGCTGTTTTAGTCTTTGAAACACTTGACGATGGAACATATCTTCGAAGTTGTCAGAGATTGAAAACTTGTTTATTTCTTAGAAAACTCACTTCACTAACTGAAAAGTCATGAGTGAATATTCTTGAAGACCCCAGAAGGTTTATGTTCATGATATATTAGTCATCACTTTGAAGTAGCAAGGTGCATCATGTTATACATATCTGCAATACCAACCTGAATAGGAAAATCTGAAAATTGACGCTAACCAATTTTTATAACAAGTTTTATGGATAACAACTTCTTTATTTTCGTGAGTGCGACGTTTCGATACAGATTCTTGTACCGTTGTCAAGCAAGAGTGATACATGAAGTGTAGGAGGTGCATATATATACTGTATATAACAATGAAACAACATAATAGACAAAGGAAACAACATAATTGCCATGATTGGCTAAGCAGTAAGCTGATGAAGCCAGTAAGTACATAAAGGATAGTGAATGGAAGCCAGAGATGTAGTTACAATGAGATGTTTATACAATGGATGCGAAGTTTATACAATAGACTGGGCTTGGTGGAGGAGTGGATCATAAGCAGATGGAATGAAGTATCCTTGGTCACGGTTGATGGTAGGCTTGTATGCTTGATGTGAATGGCTTCTGTGAGCTTGGCGTTTAGTGAAGTCCGTTTGGTTGTTGGCGAGAATGGTGATGTCGGACCACTCTATTTGATGATTGGGGTTGGCTTTGATGTGGTCAGAGATAGCTGATTTGGTGTCGGAATTAGCAACAGAGGTGCGATGTTCTTTGACTCGGTGTTGATGGGTCGGATGTTTCACCTATGTAGCATTGTCCACAATCACAGTCTATTTTGTAAATAACACATTTCGGGTTGTTGTTGTTGACGGTGGGTTGTTTTCTTCCGCTGGCATGGAGGAGGTTGTTGAGGCTGGAGGACGCTGAGAAGGTAGTGTCTATTCCTGCCTGTTGTTTCAGGAGTCGGGCTGATTTGGTGTGATGGTTTACCAATGTAGGGAATGGATATCTTGATGGGGGCTGATTCTGGTTTACATCTTTTGGCAGGAGGTGAAAGCGCTAAGCTTCCGATGGTTCTGTTGACTATTTCAGGTGGGTAGTGGTTGCGTTCCACAAAGACTTTCCTCAGGTGTTCAATTTCTTCCTGTAGGTTTGTTGAGCAGATGTTTTTGGCTCTTCTGGTCAATGTGGAGATGACGCCGGTCTTGACTTTAGGTGGGTGGTTGGAGTTGTAGTGGATGTATTGATCCGTATGAGTAGGTTTTCTGTACACGGAGGTCTGGAGTTGGTTGCAGGAGGTGCGGGACACGAGGACATCAAGGAAAGGTAGTTGGTTGTTCTGCTCTGTTTCAATGGTGAATTTGATGCGGGGATGTTGGCTGTTGAGATGGGCGAGGAGCTGCTTTGGATCTTGCTGAGGTTGGAGGACGACGAAGGTGTCATCCACTTTGCGGTACCAGCAGGACGGTTTGAAGGGTGCAGTTTCTAGGGCCTTCTCTTCCAGGTCGGCCATGTAAATTTCTGTAAGGATGGGGGATAGTGGGGAGCCCATGGGAAGTCCGTGGATTTGCTCATAGATGGCATCGCCCCAGGTGAAGTAGGTGGAGTTGATGCAGGCGGAGGTGTGGCTGATGATAGAGTCGGTAGAGAGGCTGGTGTTGAGGGGTTGTTGGAGGTTGTCAATTCTGTGACGCTTTTAGCAATATTCCAGCTATATCACGGCGGGGGACACCAGAAATGGCCTTCACACATTGTACCCATGCTGGGAATCGAACCCGGTTCTTCGGCGTGACGAACGAACGCTTTAACCACTACGCTACCCCACCGCCCCTATAAGCTTGGGACATTGTGCAGACTTACACTGGAAATACTAGAGTAT